CAGAAGAGGGTGTCGGATTCCCTTGGAACTGGAGTTATGGATGGTTGTTAGCTGCCACATGGGCATTGGGAATGGAGCCACGTCCTCTGAAAGAGTAGCTGGTACTCTTAACCACTGCGCCAACACTCCAGCCCATGGGATGATCTATTGTAAGCAGGCACAGCTGATCTGATGAAGATGGCAGCTGTTTGGCTCATAGGATAGGACTGTACAACAACATATACTTTATATGTAAATAAATTATGTCCTTAATTTAAAATTTTTGTTGTGTCATCATCTGTGTGTGTATGTGTGTGTGCATGATATGTATATGGGCACACGTGTAGAAGTCAAAGGACAACTTTATGGGATCCATGCTCTCCTTCCATCTTTCCGTGGGTTCTGGGGATTGAACTCAGGTTGCCAGGCTTGTGCAGCAAGTACCTTTATCTGCTGAGCCGTCTTGCTGTTCTTAATCACACTTTTTACGTGTGTAGCACTGTTTTTTGTGATGTTAGCAATCAAACCCAAGTGGCATGGATTTCTTTTCTTTTCTCTTTTTTAAGATTTATTTTGGGGCTGGAGAGATGGCTCAGCCATTAAGAGAACTAGTTGCTCTTGTAGAGGACCTCAATTTGGTTTCCAGCACCCACATGGTAGCTAAAAGCTATCTGTAACTCCAGTTCCAGGGGATCCAGCATGCTCTTCTGACTTCTGCAGGCATTGCACAGATGGGTATACTTAAATACATGCAGGCCAAACACTTATACACATAAAATATAAATAAATAAAAATAAATATGAATGTTTGGCCCACATGTATGTATGTGCATTGTGTGTATGTCCGGTGCCCACTGAGGCCAAAAGCAGACACTAGATCTGTGGAACTGGAGTTACAGACAGCTGTGAGCTGACATGTGGATCCTTTGCAAGAGCAGCTAGTACTCTTAACCACAGGCCATCTCTTCAGCTCTGTGACATGAGTTTTGACATCCCTATGAAGATATAGGATATTTCCATGAGATCAGAAAGTTACTTTGTAGAGAAGCCCTCTCACTCCAAGTTCCTGGCACTAACTCTACAGGGCACAGTCTTTAAATCTATTTTGCACTTTCCCCTATAGGCCTTGTCTGTGTTCTGAGCTCCTTCCTACTGGATGGTAATCTTCTTGAAGACAAGGGATTATAATGATTCGATTTTATATTCCTCAGAGCTATTCAAGCACAAGTTCCAAATACAGCTGGGCCTCACAGCATTTAGGAGGCTGAGGCAGGAAGATCAGAGGCGTTCAAGGCCATCTTCAGCTACATAGTGAGTTTGAGGCCAGCTTAAGTTACATAAAACTCTGTCTCAATAAAATAAAACACCCAAATACCTTACAACAACAGCAAAAAGGGCCGGAGAGATGGCTCAATGGGTAAAGGTGCTTGCTTCCAAGCCTGATGACCTAAGTTAGATCCCTAGAACCCACCTGGTGAAAGGAGAGAACTTTCCTGCAACTTGTCCTCTGACCTCCACACGGGTGCTTTGATACACATGCCCCAACATACACACTAAAAAAAAAAAGTAATTTTCTTTAAAGAGAGGCTGGGAAGATGACTCACTGATTAAGAGCACTTGCTGCTCTTGCAGAGGATCTGGGTTTTGTTCCCAGCACTCATGTCGGGCAGCTTGCAATACCCTGTAACTCCAGCTCCACAGGATCCAATGCCCTCTTCTGGTCTCCCTCAGCTACCTGCACACACACGTGGATACCGACACAGAGACACATAAACATAAATAAAAACGAATCTTGAAATCTAGGTGAATCTAGGAGAGATGTTCTGTTTGTAGTGCTCAGACTCAAACCAAGGCCTCACTCATTCTGTGCTAGTGTTCTACTACTGGCCCATACTTCCACCCCTAGAAGGGCTCTGATTCAATAGGGCAGCTAACAGAATGTATTGGAGGCCAGATGAGGGCATCAGATATCCTGGACCTAGAGTTACAGCTGGTCCTGGGTCCTCTGCAAGGACAGCAAGTGCTCTGAACTGCTGAACCATTTCTTTATCCCTTATTTATTTATTTATTTATTATTTTTTATTATTATTTGTGTGAGTCTTATTACTGTAGCTCAGGTAGGACCTCACTGTGTAGCTCAGGCTGCCCTCAAAGTTCCAACAATCTGTTTCAGTCTCTCCAGTGCTGAGAGCATATGTGTGAGCCACCATGCTTGGTTTATTCTGAGCTATTAATCTGAACTATAAAATTAGCTATTTCTAGAAACCTAAACATGAAGTACATTAAAGTTTGAGTCATCAACATTTGTTAAGGGTATGATTTAGTGGCTGGGGAGGTAACTTAGTGGGTAAAGTGTTTGCTGCACAAGCATGAGGATTCATCTTTGGATCCCTAGCTCCCATGTAAAAGCTGGGCTAGGTGGGTGGTGCACATGCATAACCCTAGTGCTGGAGGTGAGACAGAAGCATCATGGGGGCTCATTGACCAGCTAGTCTAGCCAATTGGTTCAATGAGAGATGCTGCCAAAAATAATGTGGTGGAGAGTAACTGAGAAAGACATTTAAGGACTCTGGCCTCTACATGGGCATGCATGGTCTAGTGCATCCCCATACATACATATGCACACACATGCACCCCTCCCCCCACAGAGTATGATTTTAAGATACTCTAAATTTTGGAAGGAAATCTTTTTTTTTTTTGGTCTTTTGAGACAGGGTCTCCCTGTAGCCCCAGCTGACCTGGAACTCACTATGTAGACCAGGCTGGCCTCGAACTTACAGAGATCCGCCTGCCTCTGCCTCCCGAGTGCTGGGATTAAAGACATGTCCCACCATGCCTGGCCAGGAAATCTTAGTGTCAGTGACATCCGTGTTGTAGGGAACTGGCCACTCATCACTTCACAGCTAAGCTGCCTCTAACCTTGCAGATTGCAACACAGTGACTAAGGATAGGCAGTGTTCTCTCCCCCATATACAGCAGGTACATTTAAAGCTTTCAGGGAATTTGAGGAAGAATTGTGTTATAAACTTCACATAGTTTTAGTTCTCACAATTACACTCTCATTTCGGTTAAAAGTTATTAGAGGGCAATTTGTTGAGGAAAAATAATCAATTAAAGGAAATTGGGGAAGTATACTTCCAAGGAGATATTAAAAAGAGTATTTTGGGGAGAATCTCTCTTACAGAAGTCCATACCACACTTTATAGGGTGTGATTTTCTGAGAACCTCCATTTCTGCTGTAAATCTCATGCTTAAGCCCGTGTTAAGATATCTTCAATAAACCTCAACTTTGCTTTTTTCTGTCTTTGTTCATTTGTTTGAGCTTCCTATGTAGAGCAGGCTGACCTCCATCTCAGAGATCTGTCTGCCTCTGCGTCCTGAGTGCTGGGGCTAAAGGCATCTGCTACCACACCTGGCTCCATCTTTGATTTTAGTTTTTCTGAGTTTTTAGTCCATCAAATCACAATGAGCATGAAGTGTTATGGACTCAGTGTCCAGCATAATAAATACTTTTGGTCCTTGCTTATCCATCCAAGGTCCTTCCTTTCCCGTGGTGACCATGTTCATTTTAGAAGTTAACATGTAAAGGAACCCTTTATTGTCTGATGAGGTCACCAATCGAACATGGAAGAACTGGGAATGGGGTGGGGGTGTACCCAGTACATGGAAGAAATGAGAACAACCTCTTTTTCTAAAAAATATTTTTTTATTATTTTTATTTTATGTGTATGAGTGTATTGCCTGCATGTATGTGAGTACACCCAGGTTGTACAATATCGTGGAGGTCAGAAGAGGGCGTCGGATTCCCCTGGAACTGGAGTTAAGGATGGTTCATAGCTGCCATGTGGGTGCTAGGAACGGAACTTGGGTCCTCTGCAAGAGCAGTCAGTGCTTTTAACCGCTGAGCCATCTCTCCAGCCTGGAGAACAACCTCTTGTATATTTTGGTGTCATAGGAATTTAATGCAAAATTTGCTGTCAGCCTTAGGAGATCATTTCCTTGGTTCTTAGAACAACTTGGAAGATAAACTTTGGACAATGTATTATACTATGCCCTTTGTAGTCAAATAACTCAAGATAAAGTGTTAAAGTTTAGTGGAGATTTAAATTCCTGAGCTATTTAAAGTTAAGACCATAAGATCTAAAAAAAGTGTTATCGGTGATGAAATTGCGTGACTTTAAAAAAACAAACACTTATTCCCAAATTTGCAGAACTCAGAAATAACTACTAATAAAAAGAACAATTGAACTTTAAGTCTAGGATCAGGGCAGGAAGACCGGTTTAGGCAGGCTCTAGATTGTATCTCAGCTACAGAATGTGGAGTCAGTGAAGGTTGTGAGGTCACGATGTAGGTGATAAATCTGGCTGAGTGTGCAAATGGGCTGGGGCACAGAAAAGATGGAGGCAGTGCCCCCCAGGGGCTACTGCGACGTCTAGGTGCTGGAGTAAAATGGTAAAAAAATAAAACTGTGGTTAAGCCCTACAACGGAAAATGAGTCAACTTGGGAGAGGTCGGGTGAGAATGGCTTGGTGAAGTCCAGTGCTCGGCAGAAGCCGCCTTTTTTCTTTCTGTCCTTCGGGCAGCCGGAACGCACTGCATAAGCCGGCCAGGATTGCCCGGCCCTTCCCCTCCGGTCTCAGCCCCTCACTGCGAGCCGGCGTCTCACCCCCGCCCCCTCCCCGGAACCGCCCTCCGCCCCTTCCACGCCCCTCCCCTCCTGCGGGCCACCGGCTCGCCCAGCCGCCACGTCTCAGATTACGTCAGCCCAGCTGCCACGTCTCACTGATGACGCCCCCCCCGCCACTAGGCCTCAGCCAATCCGCTAGGGGAAGACCGAGTGCAGTCCTAGCCTGCGAGCCTGCAGGGAGGGGATCAGGGAAGGGCGGGGTGCGGGGTGAGGGAATGGAGACTGGGCGGGCGACAAGCCCGCAGGTGCGCATGCGCGCAAGGCGCGGGGCCTTGCGGGAAGCCGAGTGCCTGCCGCCGCTTGGCCCGGTCAGGCTGCCCAGCTCGCGACGCTCTCGCGACTCTGTTTCCCGCCGTGCCGCGCGGCGTGGCCGTCCTCTGGGCCGCGGACAGGCCCCTTGGCCTAGGCTTCCCTAGTTCCTGGTTCGCCGGCGGCCATTTTGGGTGGAAGCGATCGCTGAGTGGCGGCTGCGGCTGATTGTGTTCTAAGGGTCGGAGTGGGGTTGGCGTTTGCTCTACCGGAACAGCCTAGCTTATTCCTTTCCTTCCATTACCTGTGGCGCGGAGAGTCGGGGCGGCGGCTGCGGCAGTAAGGGCGGTGGCGGCGGCGGCAGCTGCAGTGACATGTCCAGCATGAATCCAGAATAGTGAGTGTGGGAGAGTCGGGCGGGCCGGGCTGTGGGCCACGGGCGGCTCGCAAGGCAGCGGTGGGGGCGTCGGCCGGGCATGGTTGCCGGGCGAGCGAGGCCGAGCAGCCCGAGGGCCCCATTGTCTGACGGCGGAGGGCCGCGGGGAGGGGTCCGGTCGGGGTCGGGGCCGGGGCCGGACCGGGGCGCCGCGGGCGGAGAGCTGTGCCGGGGCCGGCGTTGAGTCGGCCTGGGAGGGCGGCCTGGAGGGCGCGTCCGCGGAGGCCGGGAGTCCTGGAGGACGAGTGTTTCTCGGGGAAGTGGGTGGGAGAGCGCTGCCCGAGGGCCCTGGCAGACCCTGCGCCCGCCTTGCGGAGCTGTCAGCCTCGCTGGGGTGGAAACCAGCCTTGCCTGACTCCTGAGCCTGTTGGCGCTCTCCTCCACCCTCCGCGCCGGGTTTCAGGTAATATGGATGCTTGCGAGGACTGCGTGGGCTTGAGGGGAATGAGCTGTGAGAGTTATTTACGACGTTTAGTTGTCTTTTGGGGTTGTCCCCTGAGTTAAGAACTGGCTGACCCATTAACCCATCCCTAGCCCCTCCCCCCCCAAAACCTGGGCTTTTTGAGATTTTGTTTTAGGAGACATCTAAGTCACTAAGTCACCGTTCGTCTTCTGTAGGCCGACAACAACAACAAAAAAACCTGAACCCCCAAACGAGAAATGTTTGTCCAATATTGCCAAATTAAAGCATGAAATTGCCGACAAATTGGAAAAGAAACGAATGGGACCCTTCATAGATCTGTGGGTTTTGGATTACCTACTTGAATACTTGTAGGTAGGAAATGAGGTTCCATGACGTGTCATGAAAAGTTAATGCATTCCTTTTTCTTGCTTACTCAAGAAGTCACGGCAGCAGATGTGACACACCTGGCACCTTTCATGGGGAGCTGGTGTTTACTTGGGTAGGCTTTGGCCTCTTCTCAGTGGTATTTGAAGCCCTCCTGCAGTTTCCATACATAAAAATTAACAACTAGAAGAAATGTAATTTTTATTCTTTAGTGTCATAATTCTCTAAGGGAGAAAGGGGAGAATTTTAAAAAGAGAAATCAGTATTGTCTTAAAGCTAAATTTATTTGCTGCCTTGGTCATTTACTGCTGAATATTTCCCTGTGAAAAGTCCATCATCAGTTTAGTTGACTTGTCATGTGTTTGTCACATGGCTCTTACAAAATGCATTGAGTTCAGATTTTGTAAGACTGTGGTTTGATGCTGAAATGGCCCTCTTCATTTACGCTAGGCAGAGCCCATAGTATTTTATTAGAATTTTGTATACTTTAATTTTATTGTTTGTGTGAGTGCCAGTGCTCTTGTGGAGCTTCTTTTGGGAGTTGGTTCTTCCACGATGGGTTCTGGGCATTAACTTGGGCAAGCACTGAGCTATTTCTCCAGCACAAAATTTTGCATACTTTAAGAAGTTAGTTACAGTTTATATAGTGACATGTTTGCTGTGTTGGCAGTTTTTCTCTTCTTCTTCTTATTTTTGAGACAGGCTCTCCCTGTAGCCCTGGCTGGCCTGGAAGTCTATGTAGACCAGGCTGGCCTCAGTCTCACAGAGCTCCTCCTGCCTCTGCCTCCTGAGTGCTGAGATTAAAGGTGTGGGCCATTATGCCAACTTTTTTCTTCTTTATCAAGGACTCCTAAGACAAAATTGGATTTGCATAATTGAGCAAAGTTGAACCTGCAGTACCTAGTTAGTAATATTTTTCTTGGCAGCAGTAAAGAGCATGGACTGGCCACATCTCAGAGGGTTGTAAACGTACTATTCAGGGAGTTTCCAGTATTTGATACTTATATTTATTACTGTAAAAAGATCTTGAAGATTAATTAGCTGAACAAAATTTGTAAGTTATTCAGATTCTCAGTTTCCTTCTCATTTGGTAAAGCCGTATATTAGCAGTCATCATTGCTACCTATTACGGTAGTACTGAA